TGCAACTGATGTGTCTAGCATCCGCCACACCTCGCACGCATGGCACACCGTGGTTTATTTAGGATTTTTTTTTTGGCTTTCTGATTTTGCTTGGTTTTTAGGGAAGCGGTGCTTTCCCCGAGAAGCACACATACTTGTGCTTTTCTGGTTTTGGTTTTTTTTGCTTGTAGTTTTTCTCTTGCTTTTTTTTGTTTTTGTTTTTTTCATCCCTTTAATCATAACTTTATCAAAATGTATTAACATGTGATCCAGTTTTGAAGATTTCAATGTGAGAAATTCAATGGTTCAAGAGATAAAAAGTTTTGAGAACATGAATTTAAGAAGAAGAAAAACTTTCAGATTACGACAAGTGGACACGTCAACACCAGAAAGTGGGAGTGACCTTTACAAAGAGTGTCTCTTAATTAATAACTTTGCTTAAGGCGTCACATAGGAGAAAGTCTCCATTCTCGGTTGCGATTTAACCACAAGAAGTACCTCTTAATTAGTGATTTCGCTTAATGCGTCATATAGGGGGAAATCCCCGGCGATTTGGGCACTAGGCCTATCATCAGCGGGCTGCGCTGTGCGGGCGTGCAAGTTAGCTAGTTGGGCCTAGAAGCAACAAGCAAGGCCCAAGAATTATCAATTTGCCCGGGCAAATCACGGCAAGCTCGCCGGCGAGTGAGCCCGCCGGGTCGCCAGGTACTGGCCCCGCCTTCCTGCTTCTCAGGAAATTCGTATACTCCAGACACACAATCATTCTTCCCAGCAGAAGAGGAAATCAAGCGTAGACGAGTGACAGTGATTCATCCAAGTTGTCTATGCTGAACATTCACAGGCATCACATATCATGTATGGACGCACGCAAGCAGACACTACCAAACAAGCCATTTGATTTCATTGGGAGGCCTTGTGCAGAAACAGTTTGGAACAGGCAAAGAAAGGGATCAAGCGCTGCTGCTTTCCGTCGCTGCTGCGGCGGCGGTCGTTTCCCTTGCCGGCGTCGCCAGCAGTTCCTGATCGGAGAGGCATGGTCCAGATTCTTCCTCTAGTAATGTTGAAGCCACTGTGACCGGACCCTGAACCATGTGAATGGAGTTTCGAATCAAAAGAAAAAAGCATTTCGTCCGGGCAAATAATAATAAAGTACAGGATCCTGATTTCTCAACGAACTTGAGCATGTGAGATTCAGTTCAGGCACATTTTGTTTCTCGACGAATTTAAGCATGTACTCCGTATTAGATTCAGACACATTTTTGCCGATCGGTGATGTGAAAATAGAAACGAGGAGCAGAGCATTTACCGGAGGATCTGAAGACGCGGTCCCCTGTTTCCTCTTCCTCTCCTCCCTGGATCTCAGCGATTCCACCGGAACGTACACCTGCCACCGCCCGTCATGATCAGCAGCATCCCCACAGAGCTTGAGAAACGAGCGCCTTCAGGAACATCTACCAAGCGGAATCGAAAGAGACGGGACCGTACCTCGGGCATCCCGATGAGGCGCATCAGCTCCGCGACGACCCGGCGCTGCTCGTCCGCGCGGCGCTCCCACTCCCGCATCTCCCGCCGCAGCGCCTCGTCGGCCTCCGCCAGCGCCCTCTCCGTGACCTGCCGCGCGGCCCGCAGGCGGCCCCGCCGCTCCCGCGCCTTCTCCAGCTCCTCCGCCAGCGACACCTCCTTCTCCCTCACCACCGCCGCCGCCGCCCTCCTCTCGGCCTCGTCCCGGCTCGCATACGACCTCACCGACGGCGGCGACGCGGCGGCCGCCCGCGCCTTCGCCTTCGCCTTCGATTTGGCGGCACCGCCGCCGCCCAAGGACGGGGAGGCGGCCGCGTTGCCGTCCCGCGGCTGCAGCGGGACCCGCCGCGCGCCCCCGGACCTGGCCTCCGACGCCATCGGAGTGGAGGAGGATCCCCGCTCGCGTCGTGAATGGATGATTGCTTGATTGATTGCCGTGAGGAGGCGTTGATTTGGGGATTTCGCGAGCGGTTTGGGGGGTTCGAATTTGAAGGGTTGGGAGAGTGGGTTCAGAGTAACAACGGCTAGTAACTCTGGATGGACGGGTTTGCCCGTGGGGAACGTGGGGGCGCAGGCAAGACGGCCGAGGGCAGTCTCGGCCTTGCCTGGTCGTCATTGGGATGGCTTTCGGCGCTGAGACGGACACACGCATGATGACGATGCTCTTTTGCGGGGTTCTCGGGGAACGCTTGCCGGATGACGTGCTGCTGGCGCTCGGTATCTTTTCCTTTTACGAATGGAAGGAACATCTATATTTCCAGAGATTTCAATACGGACTACTCCCTCCGTTCCGAATTACTTGTCTTGGATTTGTCTAGATACGCATCTAGACAAATCCAAGACAAGTAATTTGGAACGGAGAGACTACATACAAAGCAAACTAAATGAATTTGCATCTGAATGTAGCCCGTATTAAAATCTTTAAAATTGCTTATATTTAGAAACGGGGGAAGTGGTATGAAAATAACAGTTTACAAAGTCGGTGAGCGGATGGCAGGACCTAGCCAGAACCTGTGAAGATATCGTCCAAGAGAAAAATGTCGGTTCCGGCGTAATTGCACCCTGGACCCCACGTTGTACGTAGTGCCACACGTTAGAGCAACAAGTCGCCATAATGCCTCGCCGATCTACGTCTCTGACTGCTACATCTAGTCGGGAACCCCACAGGCAACCTAGAAAGTGCCTCAAGGAAGAAACGGCATCATTGCTTCGTTGCATCTGATCCTCAACCCTACGATCTTCCCTAGTGTTCAAGGAGGAAAACCTTGAAGGAGGTGACACCACCCTATTTTTGGCCAAACAATTGCAATTTCTTCATGCACGCTACAACTAAACATTTTGACTTTGCCCTCTATCCACCTGTCTTGTTGACTCTCCTCGTCGACAACCAACGTCTCACCCTCCTCGTTCTTATACAAGGAATGGCAGAAATACAAATAAGATGCAATGGCCTTACACCTCACCTAGGATCAACGTATTGCCTTCTTCTACATGATAGAGCAGAATGCTATGTGCTCTCTTCCTTTCCGCACATCTCACTAATAACTCTCATGCTGAAATTCTTACCCGACAAATTACGCAAAATGATTGCAGCTAAAACCTATTGCTTA